CCCCCCCCCCCCCAAAAAAAAAAAAAAAAAAAATCCAAAACATCTAAGTGGTGAATTGCATACCCAAATTCATATACTACGACCCGTTACATATCGCGTACCATGTAACTGTGATACTGTCAGTAGATCTATCACCAGCTCTGATAGGGAGGTGACTTTTGGATGAGAGAAATCGGCATGACATAATAAATGCATATCGGCATGACTGTGACGTGTCTCAAGACATAGCTTTTTTAATCAGACTACTTCTCTACACCATGTGTCCTAGCAAGCCTGTTGGTAGACATGATCAAGATCAGAGAAGTGGGTTTAGGACGCTAGGTTGCCTGGGGCTTCGGTGGAGGAGGCTTGGAGGAGGAAGTGCCTCCTCGTGACAGTAAGTTACACACTTTCCCTCCATGTTAGTACCTTAGAAATATGGATTAATGTTCTCAGTTCCTAAAAGAGGCACTTGGTGGAATTATATCATATTACGTGAAACATACAGGGTGGCAGTACATACCAAATGCAGCAAGATAACAGTTAAGAAATGTTCTATTATTTCATACATTGAGATTGCCCATGTTATTAAATGTTTTCCCTTGATGGCTTAGGAAACTGTCAACTTACACCAATCTCTCAGCGAAGTAAATAGGATGCCTCATACTCAGAAATTAGAATAGGAGCACTCTCAAAAGGTGAAACAGGAAACAGCGCTTACAAGTATGTGAGACCAAGTGCCAACACAATTATGTCCTACATAGATTATAGTGGTGGCAAGGTTAAGGAGTGCAATAAATTATAGCCACGCTATTTTTTACTAAATAAAATTCTCTTATACACCATAAATTTTCCATAATAAAGATATGTTGACTTCAAACTAGCATGGTAATGACCTAGTGCTCTATTGTCACAGAAGCAGAAAATGTCACTGTGCTTAAGGAGAAAATTAAAGCATAAAAGGAAAATATAAAAAGAACACTTAAGCAAAACTTTAAGAAGTGCAAATCAACTACCTTCCGTCCATGAGTTCAAGTGCCAAAATTCCAAATCGATCAACAAAATCTGAATAAGTTCTCCGAGTAGGATAACCAGCTAGACTAATCCGAATAGCCTCCAGAACACCCTGAAAAAAAAAACAATCTAATAATCACATAAAATTATGACTACTTATGAGAACAGAACTGAAGACAGAAAATTCAAGGTTCCCAGTTGTTAAAGGATGTAGACTGTAGTATAACAAGAAAAATCCCACAAGAAAACTGTTAAAGAACATTGGATCTGTCAGTGTGTGAAATGGAATTCCGTCCCGTGTGGAGTTTCGTTTTAAACGCCACTCGCAAAGTGGGTGAATTCCAATTAACCTGAATTCAATATCAAGGCTTAGAAATTGAAGGGTTCGGTAACTTCACCAAGGCTAGCCTACAGCAATATATAGCTAGAAAAATGGTATCAGGTACAAGTACAATCTCCTAACAATCCAACAAATAACAGGAATTTGGATTCAATAATTTCGGTTGTACAAAATATATCCAACCATATACTAGGTCATATTTGCAGATTTAAGATATTTAACTTCATAAAGTAAAAAGACATTAATGGCAATCACATATAACCAATAACAGAAGAGAAAACTTGAACTAATTGCATTTACAATAAGATAAATGTGCAATGTAGCCCATACGAAAAGGTTTGTATATCTTCTTAAGCTAAAGAATCTCCATGCAACGATGGCATTAATAACGTCACTTGATAGTTATTTTTTTTCCTTCTTCTTACTTCTTTAGAAATGCTGAACGGAAAAGCTTGAAGAAAATTCCATGAGGATACAGCAGTCCAAGTCAAACGAAGCAAAGAAAAGAAATTAACCAAAGAGTACTAACCCCACATCGCAATTGTTGTAAGACACTCTGATTGTCGAATTTTTGGGCGTAATTTACAGAATTAGGCTTTATGCAGCGCACATAATGAGGTTTAGTTGACTTCAGTGTTTCCATAAGTGCCTGGAGTTGTTGCTGCATATACAAAACAAACATATAAGATAGAAATCTAAATAAGCCAGAGAACTTAAAACACTAAGAGAATTCATATTATAAATGTGAAGAATAAATGGGGGAAGTAGTCAACTAAGTTACTACCGTTATAATCTTTGAGCCAAGGATGCCGATTGCCAAAATATACATTGTAACATGTCTCAATTAATGTGTATACATTATATCAATAATTTCAACTAAATTGCAGTGATGGTTTTAACCACTTTAGCAGACCCTTACAGAAGTGTATCTGCCATAGACAAACTAACAAAGCGAACATCAATTAAACATATATAATTTCATTCTCTTATTTCAATACTAGAAATAAGACAGGGTTAATAATTCCCTACGGTATATGAGTCAAAAAACAAGGGAAATACAAACATAATGAATCCCTTGGACTCCCAGCGTGATCCAAGTCCAACATCAGCTGGGTGTCTAAAGCAGTACTGAAAAGACCCCAAATGAATTATGCATTGGAGAAATTTCATTCCTCTTCTCAGGAAAGAGTAATTGTCAGCACACACGCACGCATATACAGAACAAATCTAAACATATTCATAGGTGTCATAAATGTGCAAGGATTGTAAGGTCAAGAAAACTCTAGGTTACATCTAAATATGAGGACAAAATGTAAATTTTGACCTCACTTATTTTTGCTTTTGTAATTAATATTTATTTCAAAAGCAATTAACATTTATTTCATAAGTTGTACATTTCAAGAATATAAGGAAATTTTAAGTTCAAGAAAACTTTAGTTTAAACCTAAAAATGAGGGGGAAATGTAAATATTAACCAATATAATCTTCCTGCAGTAACTAAAATTTATTTCATAGGTTGTATATTTCTAGAAAATCTGGTCCAGAATTTGATAATTTTACCTCCTATGCAAAAGAAATTAATTTTTCTCAGAAATTTCAAGTAGGGTCAATAGAGAGAGATAAATAAACCTTTTATCGTGCTATTACTGTCTTTTCATATGGGTACAAACTTCTATAAATGAGCTTCATGGAATTTTTCAGCGATCAATTTTTTGAACTATTTTCAAACATAGCCCACTTAACGGTTTAGTAGCTCCTTGACTGCACATTTTATGCTTTACAGAACAAGCGTGATTTTTAAATTTGGTGTGAAAAAAGAAGTTTCTAAGGACATCAACAAATGCAACACGGTGGTGACTGTGAAATCATTTTTTCCCTTGCTCTGTGACGTCAGAATTGCCTAGTATGTTCAAAAAGAAATTGATATGACTAGCAAGGAAAAAATAGCGGCTTCGATACTACAATATTGTCATTCATCAGGATATTCTTCATCCAAGTAACTACTAAAGTGAAGAGTTCGATGAGTAATAAATTTGAGTTGATCTTCCTTCAATTAGTTTTCTAAATTTACATCTTTGAATTTCTATTAGTGAGCGTTCTTTTTACCTTTATTTGATACAGTGTCAAACAGTATTATTCTTGTAGTTTTAATTTCATAGATAATTGTTACCAAAATATCCAATAATCAACTGAGTCATCTGTTCCAGAAGAAGGCTAATTGAGGGAAAATGCCACTAATCTTTTTTATAATCCATTTCTTCCTCTGCCACACCTTGCTTTTGCATCTTGACTGGATGACCTCATCAGCTCACCTGCCACATTATCGGTCAAGAAATAATAACATTTTCAGGCTACTTTCACAAAGGTAATGATTACGAGTTATTATTATTAACTTTATGATTCAATTAGTGATTTCATGATTACAAGTTATTATTATTTACTTCACAGGCTACTTTCACAAAGGTCATCACCTTACAGGCTACCTTCACAAAGGTAATGATTACGAGTTATTATTATTAACTTTATGATTCAATTAGTGATTTCATGATGCTTCTTTTCTCCCCTTTTATGAAATTCTGCTAATCATGTCTCCTGTTTCATTGGAACATGTCCGCAGTACTATTGTAAATCTCTTCATACTTATGTTGCTATCAGGGCATTGAATTTGCTTCCGTGATGTCCTTTATGTGCAGTGCTATCATAGACATGATACTGTTGATTTTACATTATGTTGTTTAAACATAGGGCAAACTGTAATAAGGTGTCTGGAAGTGCTGAAATGTCTTCCAAATAGGGGTAGCAAGAGAAGATTTTGATGTCTTGAATATAGATTAAAGCTGCTTTTGGGGGGAGGAGGAAAGGGGTGAGGGGAATTGAAGAATATGAAACTTCTCGCATAAGGTTAACAATCTATTCATGCAAAAGATAGTTTTGTATACTTAGAAGATTATTTAGAAGATAACATCTGTTTACTAAGGACAAAGAAAAGTTAGCTTCTGAGAGTAAAAAAGGACAAATATATCTCACTCAATCCTAATGAGATTTCTACAATATTCAACCTATGTTACCAAAAACTTTGGGTTTTTCCAGAGAACCATCGTTAAATTTTCTTAGTTAATGAAAAAGACCACAAAATTTAAGTTTTACAATAAACTACCATTCGGTCATTAACAGAATTTAAATATCCTTTTAATCAAATAATAATAATATGTTTTTCGTTAATGGTTAAAATAGTTGATGCAGGACGATCGTGATATGTTGAACAAAAGATTTTAGGATTTACTAGAGTCTCTTTTGTTTTAATGATATATGATGTAATCTTTATTTTAAGTAAGATTTTCTTAGGATTTGATTTTAGGATCATCTAGGATCTTTGAGAATTTATTTTCTTAAGGTTTTTTATTTTTTCCTTTTCGTTAGGATTTGATGATGATTTCATTTAGTATCTAGATTTAGTTTTCTCTCTATAAATAAACTTGTAATCCTCCACGAGGGATAGGCATTGATTAATAAAAGATTTGAGTTTGAGAATTCTCTTGCTGGGCATGTGAATTGCTTGTTTGTGGCATGTGATTTGCCTCTTTGGGGTGTGAAGCCCTTGGATGTGAGGCCCCTAGATGTAAAGCCTAGTTATTTATCAAAACTTTCTCCACTTTCAGTCCTAGCCATCCATCCAAAATCCCTACAAAGCCCATCACTAATCAGCCCCAAAACATTCCCAAAATCACCTGCTCTTAGCCATCTAGATTCCCTACTTCTTGTCGTCCGTTGCCAATCAAGTTTTCAACGGAAGTTTTCGTCAATCCGAAGTCATGTTCAGATCTTAAGCCCTCCCACCACTCTCAGTCAATAATTTTTATACATTTTTTGCAAGAAGTAATTATCTACTATTCTTTGTTATCAGGATAATTAAAATTAATGTACCACGGGCAAACAATAGTATTTTCTGCAAATTTATGTAACAAAGACAAACAAAAAATGTGACTATCAGCTAAATAAACCTATGAACAGTGCCAATAAAAACTGGCCTTCCAGAAAATTCATTGTATGAAAAAAAAAATTCCTTGAAGTGCAGAATGATACCTTGAATCTAGATGCTACTGATGAAAATTTGTAAGACGACTTTGATGGTTCCTCCGGCAATTTTGTGAAAATTTCAGCAATGAAAGAGCACTTTGAAGAAGACAAAAGATTGCAGTGCTCCACAACAATATAGTCTCGATTTTTATCCAGGAAGGTCAGTGTTTGATAGGCCACCTACAAAGAAGAAAATAATGATGGAACTACAACCTAGAATTCCTCACTTTAAGTTTGAAATAATTATCTCGCTTACAAGAAGAGCTCAAAGGACATGCCTTTCCAGCATAATGAGATAAAGTAAAATCTGTTTGAGAAAATTTCACTTTCTCCAATCTTGGATGTGCCGGAAAGCTCTGAAACAGCTTCATTGAAAATGCTTCATGTGTTGATTTTGGGAACATACTGTAAAGGCGAATAATTATGAAAGTTTGAGCAGAAAACATAAGCCTTACAAATTGAAGATCAAACTGCTAAAAAGAGAACCCTCACCATGCCTCATCCAAAAGTGAAATTATCCCAATTGGCTTCTGCAAAGAATATAGAAACATAAGCAGTAAATATTTTACGAGAACTTGTGAGAAGGCGTTAAGCATATATCCAGGTGAAGTGCATGGAAGCAATTTTCTGGTGACAGATGCCCAATACTTAAGATGTTTATGGCTTCCTTGACAAATGCAACATGCATATGCAGATAGGCTAATTGAGAAACATAATCCTAGTAGTTAGGCATTTTATCATATTTCCAGTGCAGAGCTCAAGAAATTACTAAGAGCACAAGATTACCTTCTTTCAGTATCAAGAATCAATAGCTAAGTGAGCAATGTTATAAATGATAGTCGCATAATGTGATCGGAAGCTAGTAATGAAAGATTATTTTGTAACAGCATATTTTTTTAATGCTTAAGTTTAAGAGGTTTCTATTTACAATTAAAGCAATTAAAAGTAAGTGAATGAGAAGGCAGAATTGTTCACCAGAAGGAAGGCATGTTACAAGAAATACTTAAGCAAAAGAAGTTAGGGCTTGGGAGTGTAGTTGTTCAAAGGAAAACATAATATAAAGAAAATGTTAACGAAAAAGACAGTAATGCAATTTCTTATGAGATTCTCCTTTCATAGAAATTTGAACAGTAACATCAAGAAAAATGGATTCTCCTTTCATAGAAATTTGAACAGTAATGCAATTTCTTATGAGATTCTCCTTTCATAGAAATTTGAACAGTAACATCAAGAACAATGGATTTCAATATGCCTTGCATCTTATAGGAGTTGACTGAGAATGCTCAAAATCATAGTCTGCCCTACCCCTACACTATCCACTAATTCTTTTCTGAGCCTTTATCAACCAACAGTCAAGCAGCCCATATGTTCCAGAAAGTGGAGAACAGATATAGCACTAAAGCGCTTAACATCAAGAATGCTTCAATATGAAAAATCATTTTTGAATTTTGAGCAAAATCCAGTTGCTGATTAATAATTAATTTGAATTATTTTTTACCTATTTTTTGGGGAGCATCATACATTGTGCCAATTTCAGTCAGCATCTCACAACAAATATAAGATAGGTCTCTGAGCTGAATGTGATTCTTCCCTTGGATCATAGCATCCTACTCTTATCTACAATTTTCACTGTTTAGGATAGTCTGGGACTATGGATGAGTACTCCTAGATTTCATGAGCTTAAGCTTCATAACCTAAAAAAAGGTAGATTGAGGTGTCCTGATCATCAAGGTTATATGACTGAAGCCACTTCTTCTCACAGCTACTTTGACAAGAAACTGAACAGCCTCTCATAGAGAATCTGATGCAGGTATGCATTGGTGGTTTCCTTCATGAAACTTTAACACAAAATGCTTGGATGACTATGAGAGTGAAGAAGATAATGGGTGACATGATTGCAAAAGAAAGGAAACTGAGTAATATATTAGTTACAAGGAAATATAATAAATCTAGAAAAATCCTTTCCAAATGTACGTTCATACAGTGCAAGCAGCCTCAACGTGCTGATTAGGTGTGTGCATGTGTAGATGTAAACGTGTGTATATGTAGAAGCAACTACTGCAAACAAATTCTAGTGGGAAGAAAATGAGAAAGATATTGACTTTTAGGATGGGCTTTTGCCTCATTGGATTATTTTGCTCAATAAATAGAGCAAGAAAAGCATAAAAAATAACCTGACATATCCAACGCAGGGAAGAATGATCCGTTAGCTCAAATGACCTAATGATGACACTCAGCCTGGACTAACTGACCCTACTCCTCTTTAATTGGTCAGTTATGTCAAATCCAACACGCCTGTTTTGCTTGGCGATATATTTGCACATTTACAAGGGCAAATGTATGTGTGCATTCATACATAGAAGCATACTCATACGCTATATAGTATATGCTCATATAAGAAAAGAAGCCGAGAGGACCAGGATGTATTATGACGTTTATCTAAAGATATTTCGAGTAAAGTGAATATGTGACCATTTATATAATGAGGAAATTTGATAAGGAGAAAAGGACCTTCTCTATCAAATCCAAAACATCTTGATTATCTACAAACTCGATATAACTCCAATTGATTTTTTCCTTTTTGTATTCTTCCTGCTCCTTCTTAAATACATGCTGAAACAGGTAGCAAAGGTTGTCATGAAAACAAACAGGCTTTAAGAAAACAGGTATATAAAAAATAAGTTCAATTAAGCATAATCCTTCACCTCGTTGAAATGTTGCTGAAGTTTTTCGTTGGCAAAGTTAATGCAGAACTGCTCGAAACTGAATGAGTGAAAAGTTAGTCAAGTAGAAAGAATCCATAATGAAAGGTACAAACAGTGTAAATATAGGTTAGCAAGCAATAATAATTATACAGTCCAAGAAATACTAAAGAGTTTGTGAAAAACTCTACAACAGCGCAACTATGGGAACATAAGGAAGAAATTACCATGAGCAACTATGAGAGCAAAACTCTGCAACAATGTAAATAACTAAGGGAGAAAGTTAGAGAAAAGTTAATTATTTCATTTGTTAAGGTAATTGTCCAAATGTGTTTAAATAGAAATCTTCATTGCACTCTATAATGTAGACAGTGAAAAACTTTATGTGGCAGGAAACAGATTTATTGAAGACATAAGCTTCTGTGTGTGAAACAGATAGCATGGAGGTGCATGCATCTATTCTTTGGCGACATCTAGACTTTGTTGCTTGTTTTGACTTAATGATGTCATTCTATCAACATACAAATAGTCCAGGACATAAAATCTATTTATTAATATGGAAATGAATTTGTATTCCCTCGCCTGCTTCCAATCCCTCCCCAGAGTAAAGCGAGACAATAGCAGCACCACGAATCCATCAGCGCATCCCCTCATTCTATCTCATGTCATTTTCTCTCACTAGAAATAGCAATAAATGCAGTGCGCGTGCGCGCACACACATTGGCTCATGTCCGTGATATGATGTGGGTCTGTGTTGGATGTTTTTGTTGATTGGGGAAATTTTGGATGATCATCACAACACGAGAAAGATGAGGAAAAACTGGGATAGAGAAGAGTTTCGCGAGATCTTATTGATGTATCTCTGTTAATATATTAACACTAATAAAGCAACAGCTTGGTGGTACACTGTTCTTTTCATGCAAATGACTGCAGTTCAAATACTGCATGCCTCATTTAGACTGATTTCTTTTTCAAAAAAAGGCAAAAGATGCACTTAATTTTTAACTTAACATGGAAAATTTTGCTTTTAATTCGTGATTAAATGAAGATTATAAGGGTCTTCAACATATTTGCTAATTTGAGCTATTTTCATACATTTGCAAATAATTACTGGATTCCAAAAAAATCAAAAGTGAATCTCTCACTAATGTTAAGTGTCAGCTTCAAAAAGAAATATTTTTTTGGTAAGCTTAAATTAAAAACAATGCATAGTGTAGCATCACCAACCAGCTAAGTGCAACTTTTGATAATGTTAATTCTATGATTTTATTAGGAAGTTTCCATGAACGATTTTAACGGGTCTGTAGCTTCCTATATTTCGTACAAGTTCTCTTAATTTTTCAGAGTTTCTAGCAGCATCGCTCCCAACAATTAATTCTTATTTAAAGAAGAAGACAAAATTAACACCACATTTATCGACTTTCACACTAAAATCTAGGGCCTGTTTGGTTCGGGAATTTGCAACCGCAGCTATTGTTGCAATTTGAAAAAGACATGATTTTATAGGTAACTATTAATTTGCTTCAACTATAGATTTTCTGCAATTGCAGTTGTTAAAAAGAGACAATTTTTTGACTGCAGACAATTTTTACAGTGAATTAATATGGATGTACTACGATCACGAAAATTGGAGTTACTGCAGGTAATATTAAAATTCATATGTACAAAATGAAAAGCATGATACTCAAATAGTAGGAAATAGAACGTACATACAAAATATCCTCTGGAGTAGCCAATTCGCAGACTCTGCATCGTTACCAAAATTTACATCTCACAACTCCAGATTTTTTTTCTGTTAGATTTGAGTTTGTGAGTGCTTACAATCTTAATCTATGTCATGTGTGATGTGCCAACGGCTCTTCCTTGTTTCGGCCTAGTCAGGCTCATTGTTTCTAATGGTTCAAAAGTATGAGACCGTAAAGGCTAGAATTGTGCTCCAACTAGAGCTCAAGCTCGGTGTTCAAGTTTTCAAATTCATGGGTAGCAGTTCATTTCAAATAGAAGTAAAATCTTTGGGTGATTCATGCATGATTTCCTCAACTGAAATTTGATTAATGCAGCTGAGGAATTGGTAATAGAATTGCATCCATTTCCAACATATGGGCTTGTATGATATCCAATTAAAGATGCTCATTTATATTAGAAAAAGCAGAAAAACAAAAAAGGTTGCCAAAGCCAAATCTATCAATAGAGGATGTTGATTCCAATTAATTAGATTTAGTATTTTGTAGAATAATTTTCAAAGGCAATTATATTAGAATAAGATTTTTTTCCTTCATTTTGATTTTTTTTAACTGTTCAGTTACTTTTATTAAAAAAGGGTTGTTGCTTTCTTTGGAGGGGAGAGAGATGTAGATTTCCTGATTTCAGACTATTAGATGAAGAAGAAAAATCTTCGCTCGTTTGGATTAAGACGAGTTGCAAACGTGAAATCTAAATTCTTTGATGTCAGAAACCCTATAGACTGTTAATATCTGGCATAAGACACCCCAGAATGACCAGTATCTACTTGAGTCCGGCACATTCAAATGTATAACCATCATTCGTTTTACATAATATGCATGTGTGAAGTATGCTACGTCACTTTTTCACAAGAAAACAACGGTCTTACAGGTCACTTTTTACTAAAATCAGGTCCTTTGATACATAAATTATGTAATAGATATATTTGCAAGAGTCACATATACATATGATTCAGATTAAATATGCCCAAATAGATGCGTACTGATGCTTGCATTTTGGATAACCACCATGTCCACCGCCTGTGTCCCTAATGAAGCATAAAGCATGACACCTGTATCATTGTCTATAGATCACAATTGAAAACTCCTTATATTTTTATTTTGTTAAACTTTCCTTTCCTTGTCAGACTTTTTTCTAGAAATCTCTTTATATTTTTATTTTGTTAAACTTTTCCTTGTCAGACTTTTTTCTATTAGTTCCCCTACAAAAGTTTGCCAATCAAATCTAAAACTATTCCCTTAATTTTCTTCAAATCCTAACCTTACTTGTAAAACGAAGTACGCCCAAACTGTGCCATCTTTGTTCCATTTCCAAATATGCTCCACACTACATGATGTGAGAATGAGATGCTTCACAAATAAAATTATCAGAGTTTAGATTTTAAATGTTTCTCACGGTTTACTGTATGTGGATGGACAATGTCAGTGTTTCTTTTAAAGAAGTAATATCAATTCAAATGATAATGCATCAACAAAACTATGAGTATCAACATAAATAACCTGTTGTTTTTAAAGCACTCAAAACCATAGATGTCTAATACCCCAATCTGTACCCTGGAGTTTCGGTCTTGTCCAACAGACGTATTGATAGTTTCAACAAGCCTGCAGAAAACGAAGCAAAGAACAGCAATTATTTTTGCAGCACATGAAAAAAGAAGAGTTTGAAGAAGGAAAAGAGCATGCCAATCAAACATTCGAGCATAAACAGTCTTCGCTAAAGCATCACGACTAGCTGCTGCTGCAGCACAATCAAGAGCTTTCATTATTATTCCTTCACGGGTTGTTATGGAACGAGAACACAAAGTTGAAAGCAAAAGGTTCATGTCACACCTGATGAAGAGAAAAAAAATCCCAAAGTGAGACTAAATAATAGGCTATAGTGAATAGAATACACTAGAGGAAACCAGTTTCAAGTTTTAAAAAAATCATTGTCAGAGAAAATGATATAGCCTGAGATATGTTAAAGATCATATGGAGCGTTAAGTCAAAATCGCTACTCTATAGGACCATTCACAAGTCATTTTAATCACTATGGTAAACACCTAGTTAAAGAAACAGCTTGCGCTACGAAGCGAATACTCGATCGCGGACTTAGACCATAAAATATGAGATAGTTTGTAATACATGAGCGAATATTTGCAAGCTTGCACTTCACTGAAATTTGAACAGGTAATGTTGTACAATTATGTGGAGAGCTATACACCATGTCCCTCCTCAAATCTTCTCTACGTTGATCCAACTCAGCCTCAATACTTGATATAGTTGAAGATATGGCTTGCAGTGTGCAGTCAATATTTGATCAGCTAACTAGAACACTACCCGATAGAAAACTATAGGAATTAGCCTGAATGCATGAGTCAGTTTTCTGCCAACTTGCACTCCCCTGGAATGCAAAGCATGGTCTCCAAGTGCTTCCTTCAATATTCTCTATATCCAACTCAGCCTCCCTGTATTCGCATATGACCAATGCCATCCATTTCCTTCATACTCTACAACCATATTTACATATAAATATCAATAACCATATGAATGCACAAGTTCGGACTAAACTACTTTTGGAAGTATCTACAGTGTTGATATTTTTCACTTTAAAACATTATATAGCTTCAAAATAAAACTCAAAATTGCTCACTTGATCTATACAGAAACCAAGAAAACAAGAAGTTCCGACATCAGCGATTGATGGATCAACTGATCAAAGAATAGATGACTCAGATAAAATAACATATTTAATTGACACTTGATAAAGGAGTAAAATATCTCAAAATTTAAGGGTGTGTTTGGTAATCAATGTGTGTTTTTTTTGTTGTGTTTTTGTAAAAAACATCATGCCATGGTGTATCTTTTTCAAATGTGTTTTGAAAACACCATTTTGATCAAACTAGTTTCACCATTTATATAGCGGCAGTGGGCGGGCGGGCGGCGGCGGCGGCAGCGGCCGACGGACAGCGGGCGAACGACGATTTCCGTACCTGGGATAGCGGCAAGTGGCCGGCGGCCGGCCGACGGGCGACGGCGGTGGCGGCGGCGGTGGCTGGCGGACGACGACAGGCCGACGGGTGGCCGGTAGGAAGGCCTGACGGACGGCGACGGTAGCGGCGGAGGTGAGGGTGGCGATCGGTCGCGCCCAACGGACGGTGGGCGACAGGCGACCGAGTGCCGATCGGGTGGCGAGTGACGCGGGCAGGCGGCGCGGTCGGCGGCGGTGGCGGGGTGGCCGACAGAGCGGGGGGGGCGCCAGCAAGCGGACGGGCCGACGACGAGGCGGCGGTGAAGGGTGGCTGCAGCCGCGTGACGGGCGGCGACGACGGGTCGAGGAGTGCCAGCCGGCTGGTAGCGGAGGCGTCGGGCGGCCGACCAAAGGTCGGGGCGGCCCGCCAAAAGGTCGGGGGATGCGGCCGACCAAGGCGGGCGGCCGACCAAAGGGCGGGACGGACTGTCGGCCGACGGGCAAAGGCGGGCGGTGGGCGGTCGCCAAGACACGGGCGGGGTGGTGCCGTAGGGTGGCGGCGCGGCCCAAGGGCGCGGCTAGTGGCGGTTGGCCGCCAAGCGCGGGCGGAGGCGACAGGGCCGAGCGGGGCCGGCAGCGACGGGCGAGCGGGCTGCGACGGCTTAGATGAAAAAACGGAATCTTAAAACACATTTTTGGTGTTTTGAGAAAAGTGTTTAATTTTTTGATTTTGTAAAGGGACAAGGAAAAAAATGCCCCGGTTGCCAAACGCGTTTCTTTGTTTTTGTTAAAATAAATAACAGAAACGGCAAAAACGCCACAGTTGCCAAACGCTCCCTAAGTTTCCATCGCATCAATCCAATTGTTAGACTTTCATTTTAGAAGTATAAAGTCGAATCCACATTCAGGATGCTCCAAAAAATAGCCTAGCTCAATTCTTCAGACACACAGATAAATACAAAAATAGATGCATGCATAAATGAACAACACATTGCCCACACAAACACAGAAAACCACATACATGCATACTAATCTATACTCCATATGCCCACACAAACACACATAATCACATTTATGCGTACTTGTATAAACTCTATTTACGCATAAAGGAGCATGCTTGTGCAT